AACATTATTAGAAATTATTAAAATATTATTATATACAAGCAAACGACTTTGCCTCAACTGAGTGTATGAGAAATAATGTCGGAGTACGTCCAGTCATTCTTCTACATGTGCAGAAACCCATATACCATTAACCAATTGCGAAAAGTAATATTAGAACCTGTTATTATCATATGAAAGTGGAATAATAAATCAAGTGAATGTACTTAAATCCAAAATTATCTTAATTGCGTTATCCGCGGAATCCATAACACAACTTAGCTCTTATCGTAAGCAAAATAATAAGAAACATTGTTTTAAACTTGACCTATAAAATGAAATAAAGTCTTTTTTACCTCCAAAATGAACTTTGAAGATTCCTCGAAGGCCCCAGTAGCCAGTGCTTAATTTAAAGCTAATTTGAATTTTATGTTAACACTAATGCGTAATAAATAAATAACTAAATCTTCTGTAAATATTTATGTTAATACAAAATATGACAAACTACAGGTTAAACTGTTTCACATATATAATTAACACATTTTTTACCTTATGATCGCCCATGCATACCGACTCTCCAATCATGTCATATGTCCATTCATCAGTGTCAATGATGTCTTTGACTTGTGGAGACATTAAGATACGATCGCACCATGATGGACACCTAGTTGACATATAATCGGTAGGCATTTCGGGATCTTCTTCAAAGGGATATGATGGAATGAAATTTATTGGATATTCAACCAAAAACTCCGAAAGTGGTGCCAGTTCCTTGTCAAACTCCTTCAACTAATGCAATACACAAATTGAAATGGAAGTTAAATTTTATAAATTATGTTTCCCATATAAACGAATTTACCCATAACTCTTTAAATTTGAGTTGATGATCAGCGTGACTGAATTCTTTTTTGCCTACAGTAAGTATGTTGTTGCCATCTGTGTTGCGATAATTAATCTTAGTACTTTCATTCTTTACACTTTGAAGACGATGCGCAGTTAAATTTGTAGTTAATTCCTAAGATAAAATAAATAATTAATATACCATGAAAAATCTATTTTAAGAAACTTAACTTACTTTCACAACGCCCGCTGTGTCACATCTGAAATTAAAATCTCCAAACAAGAAAAAAGGGACGGAACCATTTTTGTCATCCAAGTGAAATCTAATTAGTTATAAATAGATGTAATAAATGTGACGCTCGAAAATATCTTTCATTTATATTATGTTTAGACAAAACTCATGAAACAATTCATGTTATTATTTTCAAAGGTGTTATTATTTTCAAAGGCCATATGAAAAGATACTTAGTTTTCCCTCAACGAAATATTTACTCTGTATATAATAGGGGATAAAATTGGGTTTAGGTGTCAAAGATCGAGCTACAGAAGCTTAAGTTTATGCTTAAATATAATCTATTTGCACTTTGAAAATATGTATATATAATATGGTATGTTTTGAGATAATTGGAAAAGACGTAAAGTACAAATTATATTTTACATCAAAGATCAATTCAATTGTAAAAAATTATTCATAAATATTGTGGATATTGTATTTTATGATTTACCTTTCAATAGTATGTATCAGGGCTCTTCTCCTTGTTTTACAGTATACAGATGGAAAATCCTCACATGCAGCCAAATTGGAGGCATCGTGAAAAAGGTGTATATTGACTAGATCAATGGCTGTGCCATTAATTTCCCATCGTGTTCGCATAAATCCTTTTCGTGACCATTTACACTAGATTAAAGTAAAACAAGTTAATCATATATTGATAGAAATGGATGGAAAATTCATAAAAGAAACAGACGTATCTCAACTTTTGACATTTTTGAGTTTTTTAATTGTGACATCAAATTCAATAATATTAAGAATAATTAATAATAATGGTTCAAGCACAATAGACAATTACTAAAACTTACATATACTCTAAGGTAAATTAACATTTTGAATCAAGCTTTTATTTGACATCAACAAAAGCTATAAAATATCAGGTTCCTAACTTAGATTTGCTTTATCACCATCACTTCTCATTTATGAATATTTATATTTATTTTAATTGTATTCAATCTATTATTTTGTAGGAATTGTGTTCATTGATGTTGTTTTTTTTTTTATCAATTGTTGATGTTATATTGTTAATTAACATTATTTTATCAATTGAAATATACTTACCTCTGGAAAAAAGTGCTGAGGAAACTTGGCTTTCTCCTTGGTAGGAACTGTTTCAATATTACCACAAAATATTTGCCTCTCATTGTCTAATTGGTTATCATCCCAGCAATGTGTTAAAAAATTCCATATTCTTAAAGTACATATATCCTTGTGGCCGAAGTAAATATTGCCAAGTGCCTGTTTAAAAATTAAAAAATTTTAAGACAATAATGTTGGACAAAATACAAATGAACTCACTGTAAAATGCTCCGCTGACTTGAAGTCCTCATCCATATATATTCGGACGAATATAAATTCAGTCTTTGCCATTGCCTCGCACAAACGTCGGATAAATTCTTGTACATTTCCCATCGAATTTTCGTAAGTCTTACCACCCACTTCTTGCAGATGTAGAGCTAAAAATCTGGGATTGATTTTTGTTACATTCCCGATGAACTCTTCCAGCCATATTGTGAGTAATCTTTGTGGCTGCGCAGTGTTGTAGTTCATGAAATAATTTGCATTCAAACTTATTTACATATATAAAAACATAAGCATATACATACGTGCTTTAGGATACAAATATGCACATAAGTACCAATATGTATTTATACAATAAATTATATGTACGTACATCTTCAAATAAACTTCCCACATTGGCTGTTACTAGCAATATCTTCGTATCTGAATCTGAATTGCCCTTTTTTGTTTCCATTTTATCTGATATTCCCTAAATTTATGTATCTTTTGGTTTGTTAAAGCAGAGAACAGTAGGGATGTAACAAAAAAACAATAATAATCCGATAACTGTTAAACTATCACTGCACACATTGCCCTTGTATCGATAAGTTCGAAATTTCGGATAATCAAATGCACTATTTTTGAAAATACAATCACAGGTACAATTTTACATATCTGTTTTCGGAACGGATATAAATTTTATATTAAAACAAAGTAACGAAACTATGTGAAATATTATCCGCATCGCAATGGAATCTTAAGACTAAAATACACTTAACGCAATTAGGTAATTAAGTTGCTTGACTTGACATAAATTTGGAATCCTAGAATTAAAAATAGATTGAAAATCTAATGACTTAAAAAATTAAAATTAAAACTATTTTCTCTACAGCAGGAGAGGCAGGCTTGGATAACAATCGGTGCAGCGTAACTAGAAGTCATACAAAATATACGATATATGAGAATGTTCTTAATATCAGTTCGCTTTATATAATGTTACATAATTCCTAAGCAATGACATATCGCTGAACACATTTTTTATTTGTTTGATGACCACCAAAAATAAAAATAATATAAGGATTAATAATAAGGGACTACAATAAATGCCTTATTCGTACATAATATCGAAAAAAAAAGAAACCTTACCGTATTGTAATTGGAGCAAAACCTATGTTTGCTTTATTATTAACTATAGTAACTAATAATTAATAATTAAATAAAATCACTATGTGGATGACGTTTAGAAATTGAAACAAATAGAAAAACGTAAAATGAAACACAAAAATAATTCAATAAAGATTATATCTGGCCATCCAAAGAGGCTATGCCGTAAATGTTATGTAAAACACAAGCCTTCAAAAAGAACTATTTTTTTAAACAATTTTTATAGTTAATATAACGAAATACTATTAAAAACTTTTTTATTTTTAATCCTAGACTCCGTTCTGGGTAAAAAATATGTTTCATTTCGCATGGTTCACAATTTGCAAGTACTATTAATTTGGATATATCGTGTACAAGTGTTCTCCTATTTATCGATATATGTAAATATCGGATATAAGTGTGATCTCGGAATTTTTGTGGCATCCCTATTTATAGTTACATTTTCTAAGCTGAAATGAAAATTGAGACAGAACTGTATTTCGTATAGTTAAAGAAATTTTACAATGGTTTCTATGCAATTTGTGTTGCAACCGCTTCCAGGGACTGATGAACAATTCATTGAAAGGTAAATCACTTTATTAATATTAATAGATTGGTGCATTCATATGCACATAGTATTGATCATCCGCACATGTTAGACACATGTACATATATATTTAACTCTAAAATATATATGTATATGAATAACGTACATGTACCTACATGTCCGTACATTTATTAAATGATATTGTGCTTTGAAAATTATTCTATTATATGTCTGCTTTCGAGTTTTAAGTATTGCACACTTATACATAAACATCTTTGTACGTAGATATAGTATTTCCATATACATGCATGCATATATATAATTTATATACATATCAAAATATTGGTATATAAATATATATATGCACATGTATATTTAGGGGCCATAGGCAACAGATTGTCTATGGCTGCGTATGTAATACAGAGGTACTTCTTAATTGTTGCATTCTGCTATTTGCATTCACATTCAAAAATGGCATTAAGCAGGAGAATACATAAGTTCAATAAAAATATGTGTGTTTTGGGTGTTTCACTATAAAAGACTTGTGTATTTACAACTTATAAACTGCTTCCCTATTATTAAATTACCTATTGTTTTTTATAAGAATATAAAGGGTACCACAAAATTAGCTGAGCATTATACTAATGTTATTTTTTCGTCATTTTTTTTCTCGAATGTGAGAGACAACTCTAGACAATAAATATGCGCCATGTCTGTGGAATTCACATGAATCACACTGTAGGGTTTCCAGAACCTTACCTATTTTAGATTTACAAATCGTGTTAACTTATGGACGTATTTACGTGCATTACTGCAGGATTTCCAGAACATTACATATTTCATTTTTGTAATCCCGTTTGCCTGGTTATAATTTTAATATATTAATAGCACCAAATATTTAATCATATATATATTTAATTCCTATATAATTTTTTATTCTAATTTAGAATACGAGAAGTCTCTGATAAAGTAAATCGATTCGGTTCCGGTACTCATAGAATATTTGAGCAATTGAAAATACCAGTAAGGGAAGTGGTAATTGGACCTAACCATATTGGAGTGCTTTTAGAAGATGGAAAAGCATTTCGGGTCGCCTTCTCCATAAATTCTGAAAAACTCGATCTGACCAAATCTGACAATAAATGGTAAATAATAATCCGGTAATAATTTAATCGCAAGAATCATATTGGTTATTCTTCCTTAAAGTGCGCCTTCTGGTGGAGTAGCGGCAACAAATGCACCAAAGGCACCATCATCCTCGCGGCCTATGGCTCGCTCTCGTGCACGTCTGCTTCGAGCAACAGGTAGGACAAGCTCAAGTGGTCAAGGCTCTGGATCAAGAAGTACAGGGGTTATAATTGGGGGCAGCACGTCTAATCGACCCCTTGTAACGGTACCAGCCACATATGTGCCTGAAGAGCTTATTTCTCAAGCTGAAGTCGTATTGCAGGGGAAAAGTAGGAATCTCATTATTAGAGAGCTTCAGGTTTGTTATCTCGAAGAATGTATTTAATATTAAAGCAAATATTCTTATACCCACTCTATAAATTTTAGCGCACAAACCTTGACGTTAATTTAGCTGTGAACAATTTGCTTTCACGCGATGACGAGGAAGCTGAAGATACAGAAGAGGGAGGAGACAACTATGTGCCAGAGGATCTAATTTCATTGCTAGATAATGGTTTTTCGGGTGACAATAATAGCGTCATTATTGATCCATCGGATGGACTTTTCTCAGAAGAAATATTTAGTAATTATTCAAGCATACGAAAGTAAGTATTGCCAACACATTTAATAATATTCAATCTTATACTCAAATACTAAGAAAGGAATATCAAAACAAATTTAAACTACCTTAATCCCAGAAGTCTTAACTTACCCATATCATTGAATAGTATATTATTTTTAGCGCATACAGCCAGTAACTGAAAATATTACAAACGTTTTATCTGCTCAAACCTATAGCCTTAATATTAGTTTACTTACAAAAACGTTTCCTTTCTAGTCTTCTTTTTGATCGGATTCGTAGTGAACGGAACAGTGCCAGTTCAAGTGGCACAGATAATAATCAGTCTAATCGAACATCGGCTTCGTCTAGTGGAGTTATAGCAGGAAGCGCCAGTCTATCAGCTCAAATATCTTCTGCTAATGCTGATCGCGAAGCGTTTAGCCGATGGCGCGATCGTCAATACTACGGCCCACGTCGCTGGATAAGTAAGGATGATTACACATGGGATAAAGATGCAGGTAAATATTCGACTAAAAATTAAATATAAAAAAAAAAAAAAACTTTCAATATTAAAATTGTATGTAGATCCAAAAAAAAAGGAACCGTCTTCCATACCTTCCCCGATATGGATATCAGAAGAACTACAACCATGGCCCGACAAACCATCAACACGTTTCAAGACTATTGGAGCTTTGTACTCAGAATTTATTGCGCTGTCGGAAAACGGAGAACTGCATCAGTGGCGCTGGTCAGACTTGGAGCCGTACAAATCCGATGTAAGTACAGCTTTTTATAAAATTAACAACTTCAACAACTTGAGTAGGGTTAGAATTCAACTTCTGCTGAATAGTGTTTTCTATCATGAGAG